TACAACAATGATATGACGATACAGAGAGTGGTCATCTGGCAAATGCAAAATGGTGCCGTTTTCCAAACAGGCTGGTGGGCTGAACGTGACCTTCACCGTCACCAATATTGACGTGATTTTCATGGACTGGTGTACTTTCCGCGGCCCGGAATGTGACATGTTAAGTAGAAACGATGCAGTGTTCGATCTGGCCGGAAACGTCAAAGTCATCAACATGAGTGATGTAGTATTTCAAAACATTCGTCTGGAAGGTTTGTGTCCTCGTTTTGTTTTCTGGACAATGCCGGCAGGGACACGTGGTACTTCCTCCAACGTCCGGTTTATAGATGTCTCAGTTGGATCACAGCCAAGTACTGGCCAACTCAGGAATGAAATAGCAGGCGGCTATGCTATAAACCCAACGGCTATGTGACTGATTGGCTATTTGCTAATTTGTCTGTAAGCGGACGCTGTATTTCAACCCCTGGCGCAGGGCGATTCATAATTGATAATTCTACCACATCCAATATTACATTTTCGTGTTGGGTATGCTACAAAGAGATCTAAATGACTGAAAGAAATTACTAGAGGGTGATAGAAATATTTCACGTGTTTTATATAGTTGCTGAGATTTCGCATATCATTTTAATTCAATTCAACGTTTTGTGTATATTTTTCTACATGCCGAAATAAACAACTAATGCTCCTCGTTGTCATCTACTCCTTATAACATACTGATTATATATACCTTGTAGGTGTTGATAGTGATGTCCCAAAACGTCCTCTTTCCCGCCATCTACGACTAAATATAGATGTATCGAGTGACGTTCTGACTGACTGACTGAGTTTGGTTTTACGCCGCTTTTAGCAATATTCCAGCTACATCACGGCGGGGGACACCAGAAATGGGCATCACACATTGTACCCATGTGGGGATTCGAACCCGGGTCTTCGGCGTGACGAGCGAACGCTTTAACCACTAGGCTACCCCACCGCCCCTGTATTCTAAGAACCAATTACACTATTTAACACATTTTCTCAGGAAGTAAGACTATTGATCTTGCGACGTCTGCAGAACACAAACATGGTCCTGCCGAGATGTTGGCCCAATACCAGCAAACGGTAACAACTCTAGCACAATACAGATCTGTCAGAATGGTGGCTTCTACAGAAAGAAAAGAGGCGGTTGCAAACCACCATTTAAATAAGAGGCCGGTTGCAACAAGTTGCCTGTGCAAAAGTCGCGGCGAATATAAAACGACTGCAAAGATGACACGTCTATATCACAGGCCAAGACGATAGGGACAGGAATATACTGCACAACTTTTGGATAATATTTAATCTTCAAAGATGGTTTTGCATCCGTCGTGCCTAATGCTTACAAAGCCCTATTTCATGTCAAGGCCAGCACTGCACGTCCCCTTTGAACACGTCAGGGATCCCGGACGTCATTGGTAGACGTGTACGTCAATCTCCAACCTCCATTCTCATCGAACTCGATCGGTGCTGCTCTCACACGCGTCAAGATGACACCGGCCTACCCATACTGCTGGACGGTACAGCGATGGGAGTAAACCAGGTGAAGTCCTTCACCAAGTCTGCCAAGAGTCAGTCTTTTGTGGAGAAGTTTTCTGAGAAGCCATTGCATCGTGTGTACATGCAGTGTGTTGAACCGAATAGCAATCCCACCGACTCCTTCGCCTGGGTGAAGTCGGCTGGTCTTAAATGTGAAACTGAGGACTTCCTTTTTGCTGCTCAGGACCAGTCACTTCCCACTCGCAATCGCCTAAATGTGATTCCTAAAGAAAATATCAATATGAAATGTCAACTTTGCAATGAATTCACAGAGACTGTCCAACACCTTGTCAGTGGATGCCCTTCCTTGGCACAAACAGCATATCTTAAACGACATGATGGCATGGCTCGTTGCTTTTACTACCGTCTCCGACATGCCTGTGGCTTTGACTCCGAGGTCCATCCATGGTACGACCCTGAACATGTCCAGGGCATCATGGAAAATGATACTTTTAAACTTCTCTGGAATAGGCCCATATACAGCCTGAGGAGAATTCCTGCCAACACACATGCGTTTATACATGCCAATCAGTTCTGGAGGTCGGGGTTTGATTAATGTGGAGGCTCTTCATGATAGAATTTTTTTGTGTACTTTTGCACATATTGATTTATCAGATGATCCTCTAGTGATGCATGTGAATACTAATGATAAAAGCAAGGAATTCCACAGCTATTTTAAGCGTGCCAAGGTTGTTGGACAGAATCTGAGATTTGAGGTTGATTTTGTTGATGGTGATGTACTGCTGGACGGTACAGTGATGGGAGTAAACCAGGTGAAGTCCTTCACCAAGTCTGCCCAGCGTCGGTCTTTTGTGGAGAAGCTTTCTGAGAAGCCATTGCATCGTGTGTACATACAGTGTGTTGAACCGAATAGCAATCCCACCGACAACTTCGCCTGGATGAAGTCGGCTGGTCTTAAATGTGAAGCTGAGGACTTCCTTTTTGCTGTTCAGGACCAGTCACTTCCCACTCGCAATCGCCTAAATGTGATTCCTAAAGAAAATATCAATATGAAATGTCGACTTTGCAATGAATTCACAGAGACTGCCCAACACCTTGTCAGTGGATGCCCTTCCTTGACACAAACAGCATATCTTAAACGACATGATGGCATGGCTCGTTGCTTTTACTACCGTCTCCGACATGCCTGTGGCTTTGACTCCGAGGTCCATCCATGGTACGACCCTGAACATGTCCAGGGCGTCATGGAAAATGATGCTTTCAAACTTCTCTGGAATAGGCCCATATATAGCCTGAGGAGAATTCCTTTGATAAAGCCAATGAATTTATTTATATCATTGAATTTTCTGTCCCTTTTGACACCAATGTGATTGGAAAGATTAATGAAAAGCATGATAGATATGCAGACCTCGCTTTTGAAATGTCTAGCTTGCATCCCAAGTACACTGTCGCCAGGCTCCCCATTGTTCTCGGTGCCCTTGGTTTGGTACCTCATGATCTCTTGACGCAGATCAAGAGAGTGCCCGGGTTTTCCACCGGGAGTACAGCCCTTCTGACACTCTGGGTAATGCAGAAGGCTGCAGTGTTGGGGAGCCTTCATATTCTCCGGAAAGTTCTTGGTGGGTTCGACTAGGCAGCGTTTCCTGGGAGAAGTCCCATTCGCTGTCTGGGCTGCGTGTAGAGGGGGCGAGGGCCCTGAGCTGATGATGAGCCTTACCAGCCTGACTGTGCCAGGATCACCCAAACCCTTTCTGCTGCATACAATCTGTAAAAAATGATAATAGCATATTTGTTAAGCGCATATATCCATGCTAAAGCATGCTCAAAGCGCACAAGATAAAGATGAGATTAATGGTAAAGAGCTACAGTTCAAAGGCTATCTTGAACATGTGTGTTTTTAGATTGGATCTAAAAGAGTTAAAGTCACAACAGTCTCTGAGGCTCTGCGGGAGACTGTTCCAGGCTATAGATCCTGACATTAACCAGAAATTACACCCCTGTCATACTTTTGCGTATGTCAAGTGCTTACGAGTTCCTTATAAAAAATTCAATACACAGCCCGTACGCTCAAAATGTTTTGATTATTTTTGATTATTTAGCGTATAAATAACGAATTCAGCGTATCCACTGCGTATGAGCTACGTATGATTGGCGTAACACTATTTTTCTAGCCGCAAATATCTGCCTATGTAGTGCGTCTGCCGAACGTATTTCGGACGCATACAACGTATGCCTCACGCACTTCAGACGAATGGCAGCCGTATTCCGAGCGTATTCCCGATTTATGAAAAAGGCGGCTGTTTCCCGGTGTTTTCGTTACCAGTGCAGATTCCATAGCGTGAACATCAGCCTTTCGTCAACATGGGCCATCCGAGCCATCATATTTACACCAAATCTCGAGTGTACCCTGAATGTTTGGCAAGTACGTTATTTGTACGCAAGCTGTGCGTTTCTCATTAGTTACAAATAAATACAATGTGCTGCCCGATCGCAGGACAAACGGTGTTCATTAGTGCAATACGTCGACATTCGCGAGGAGTTCGTTCCGCGTGCGTTGTATCTGCGCTGCAAGTACGCTATGTATACGCCCAATATACGCGGCTCATAGCTCGTGCCCGGAGATAAGCGTATTGCCGCGTATGAACCGTTTATCCTCCACGAACACATAGCAGACTCGTACCACGCTCGACCGATGTGGGGCGGATGCACTACGTATTCATAACTTATGACCTGTGTAACAGCGTACACACAATGGTTTTGTGCATGTCCAAAACTATCACGCGTAATGGGCCGTACTGTGCGCATGCCGGGGTACATAAAACTTACTGAAAACGATTGAGATGCATATGAGGTGCGCATTGTGCGTACGACTGCGTATGAAAGAAATGTCAATGCGCAACCCATAAGGAATTAGGATACGCAGAAGTGTGACAAGGCCCTTACTAACGTTGTCTGCAAAATGCAAAATTCAAATTTGACCCCGAGCTCGTCAACGACCCAGTGTTCCACCATCTCATCGAACCAACTATTCGAACCGTTCTGCTCGCCTAGTCCTCATCAGATTAATGATATAGTTTGTATTGGTCAAGACCAGAGGGATCAGAAGATCTGTCGTGAGGATTCCAACTTTAATCAACCTAACTGATACTTAGATCCACATTGTCTTAGTTCACCCAGCTGTACAATGGGTACCCGTGAGGATGTGCTGGCAATGTGAGTGTTTAGTTCGTTGCGCCTAACAGGCAGCATGGCTGTATACTCCCCAGGGAGTTGAAAAAGTATCGGAAAGTACGATAGTGTCCTATGACCGGGGATAGTAGTGTACGTAGCGCAATGTGCCTGGATATGAGCGCCATATAAGCGGACTATTACTATTACTATTACTATTATTATTAACTGACATTGTACACGACAATAGCAGGAAACGACTCAATGAAAGATGTGAGAACAAGAATGTTTTAACCAGTTTATTGTAACGTGTGGGGACGTCCCCCATACAACTACCCTACCAAGGGTGGATGATGGCCACGACACTCAAACGTCACATCAGCTGTCTGCTCGTCAATGACGAAGTCTGCCGCCGGTGTCTTGTAGTTGTTGACGCAGTGGCCTCTAATGGTCAAATCAATGAACTTCCAGTCGACGATACGTCCATTTTTGGAGCCCGACAATTCATTATGCATCTGGTCGTGTAGAGGCTGTTCATCAACACTCAGATTCTCCACGGTGACATGAGAGACAGTGCCATCTGCGTCATCAAGGAAGGCGTATCGGACGATTCTCTGTACCAGTCCCTCGACCCGGATGTCCTTGAAGTGTAAGTTGGTGATGTGGAAGTGTTTCGTGCCGCTGTTGTCAATGACGGCGTCGTTCCCGCTGACATGTATACACCTACCCTTGAAGTCACACCAATCAGTATGTATGACGTCACAGTCTTCAACCGAGACGTCGCCCACTCTCTCAGTATCATATCCGGTTAAAATGACGCCGCCATTTTGCATTTGCCAGATTACCAAACGTTGGATTTTGAGATGGTCCCCATGGAACTGAAATGTATACATGATAAGTTTCAAGGCGTTAGTTCTTCAAATACTGATATAAACCTGAACAAAATGAGACTGATTACGTAATATCTTGCTGTTTTCTGGAATATGTACAAGTTCTTATCGACGTATAGTTCATGTGTCAGGCCTTTGTGTCCCTTAAAAACATTGAGATGTTTATGGCACACAGCACAAGCAAAGCACAAACCTACTGGAGAAATTGAAATTATGAAATTGTGTGTCTGATCCTCCCCACATCCTTTACGATCTCCTTAAATAAAGATACAGAGGGCAATTCAGATTTTTGTCCCAAAATTCTTTCTCAATGTACACATTCCTGTACACATGCCTGTACACATAAAATTCATGCAGATATCCAAGAAAACAACCTACTTTAACAGAGGCGTCATCAGCGATGATGAAGGTGTCTTCCAGCAAGCCGTAGTCACCCTGGGCAACTCCGTCAGTGTTGCCTGTCCAGGCGGCCACCATCTTAGCATTCCTCACGACATTATGGTCATGCAGGAGCCTGTAATAAAACTTGGCTGGATCCACCATCGTGATTCCTTCCACAGTTGTGTGGCCAGCGTCTCCCTGGATGATGGCCCAGCCAACAGCATCGGATTTGTGAGCAAACAATTCAGTGGAAATGATACCTCGTCCATGGAGTCTGATGCCGTCACATCGGAGGTCCAGAGCACCATGGAGATAGGATCCAGGGGCAAGGTAAATCTCTTTGATTCCAGATTTACAGTCGATTGTCTTCGTGCCTCCAAGTTTGTGCACCCCGGGTTCGTAGTACAACACGCCGTGATCATGAGGATTGGGCGTCTTACCTTCTGGAGGGTCGGCGAAGATGTACAGCTTGTCTCTGATGTCAGTAGCATAGCCATCACCAGTGTCGTAGTCAAATTCAACCGACATCATCTTCAAGGCCTTATCTATGTGGAATGTTGCAGTTTTCTACCCCGATCTCTGACATTTGTAGTTGTAGCTTCTTGGTCTGACAGTGCACCTGTGGAAGTCCTTCACTTTTGTATGGACTTCAACCGTCACAGGTCCACCTGTGAACGCAAAACTCGTCCAGGACTGGGTCCTGTTTTTCTTTTCGGCTTCTTCGTTGCGTTTTTCAGCTGTGCTCATGTACACAAATAATTTGTGTTTGTGCCCACCTTGGCTCGCATACACGTCATACTTGTTGGATGGATTCACCCCGTTTCCAGGGCCATCATACACGATCAGGTTTGCACCTGCGCTGCACAGAAACGCTAAAACATCAATCAGTGACATTCTAGCTTCTCGGGATGGTAGTGGCTTCTAATCTTTTATACCATATGCGAGTAAAATTGGGACAGATAAGAAATCTTTATACTACTCCCAGCTAAGGACACCACTTTGAAAGGTAATGTGACAATATGTACACATCCACTTAAATGTTCAAAGACATCATTAGGTAAAGACGTTTTAACGAACAAGGGTCTGTTGTCATGTCCCACACAGTGCCAACAAACACCATGTGAACAGTAATCGGTCAGATCTCCTGTCAAAATGAAAGTATCTTACCAAAACTTAAAACGTTTAGAATCACAACAATTTCTTTCTCCTATAATACAACTATCAACAGCGCATGTGATCAACATGAAGTGACCATGTGATTTCATCGTCTCATGCATGGTTGGTTATTCTATATGATATACATATATATTTACTGTGCAGTCACTAATTCAAAGGTATTTATCCTGATCCAAGGGTAGATTTTATTGTGTAATAAAGCTTTGGGTTCTCTCAACTGAGGGCACTGTGTTTGGTCAACAAGATATTGTAATAGAATCTAAAGTATAAGTATTAAAAACATCATGTAAACTTTGTCAATCACAAGTGTCACCTATTTTCGTTATATCACGATCTATCTGCAAATGTCCATCCATATTTTTAACATTAAAGTAAATAACAACCTAACAACATCATAGACAGTTACCTGGTTCTGAAGTTCACAGATCTGAGGCGTCTTTAAGGGGGCATATTCACTGTTGATAGTTGTTTTATCAAGCACTGGACGTTCGCGGTAGCAGCACTTGTCAGACATGACCTAATTACCACTGTGTGTCACTACGCTATTTACATCCATGAAGGATTCTACTACTGATGTCATTGTGTACTATTATTGTACAGACTTATGTATTCCATGTCTCCAAATGATATATTTATTCACTGTCTTGAATCATTGTGTATTTTGAGTGTTAACACCGATGTTTGTCAGGGACTATTTCTTGTGTACACTCCTGCTTCGTGGCTATTTATAGAAAGTAAGTGTGACTTTTGACCCAGATAAACAATGACTTATTACACTTGTTAATGACGATTTTCTGATAACTTTCTTGCTCAGAAGTGTTTTAAAGTGTATTCCATGATGGATACTAATGAAAATTACACTTGATTGAACTGAATAACGAATTTGATCTGTTTGACATTTCTCGGGTTACGGTGACCTGTCAACAACATTTACGTTAGGCTGAGTGACTAATTATAAATTCGATGTCCGTTTTATATCAAAGCCACATATTCATTATCTGGTATTTTCCTGCATTCTATGGTAGAAATGCCTTGCTTTACGATATAGAGGACAATGTATAACCACCTGTATTTCCGACATTTGTACCTGCAATATGACAGTCGTTTCGTGTGTTGACATTTGTTGCCGACAATCATTCTAGGCACTAATTGACAGTCTGCTGTCCGTTTTCTGTTTGCATTTACCAAATATTTTAGCAATCTTGTTAGTGTCCGAATTGTTAAAGGACACATAGGACAACATCAATTCCTGGATACAGGGCATATTGATGCTACACTGGGCCAAAGTTGTCAATGGTCTTAGTATACATTTGACGTCTGTCAAAATGTCGTCCCGCCGCTTGGCCTGAATATAATCGTTGTCCCTATTCTTGTTATACAACATGTTTACACAAATCTCACTTGTCCATCATGGTTGATCTTTTCGGACACTTTATTTAACATAAGGACAATACCATATGATAAAGGAAACTGATGCTTTTGTAAATTTCACTTGTCATAGAGCCGACCACAAACCAAGATGGCGGCCACTGACGCTACGTTGACGGAAAGATATTGTCCGTTTTATTATAACAAACTGTCTCGATGTCCTGATTATTTCTACTGTGTCCTAATTGTATTCGGACAAGAAGAACAACATAAGGACAATTAGTAGTCACTTACTTGTGTTAGAAATGAAACTGCCTAGGCAGCGTTTCTTGTATGCAAGCCATCAAACCTGTGTTCTGATTGGTTGAGAAAGGTCACATGACCTCCTGATGATGCCTATAAATACGATCACTGGTCAAGGCCTGACACTCGATTCACACACTCGATTCGGATTCGATTCACTCGGGTCACTCGATTTAGATACAATAAGACTTTCGGTCTGATTAAAGGCTCCTGCTCTAGTTTTTACCTGGCACCTCTACTGACTTAGATTTATCATCATAACTGCTTCTAGGTATATATTTTAAGACAAATTACAATCAATTTAATAACTATATTACATACTCAGTAACATTTCTGCTAGATATTTGAGTTGAAATAACAAAATAACTATTTCCTTGGAGACTGAGCCTTGCCATTAGATATAGATATATATAGGCCGAGTAGTGTGTGATATTTATTGGCATCATTTATTTTATTGCATTGCTAACAAAATCCCATCTACATTCTTGCCATTGAAACAAAATTAAAACACAGTTTGCATATATCCCGGCAAACTTTGCTCTCTACTTCATCGTCTCCTTGTGTTATTTGTTTTCCCATGTGCACCCCAAGGGTGTTACAATTTTGGTGTCAGAAGTGGGATACTGATTTTCATAATTAGTATCCAGTGGTCCGAATCCATTAGGGTTGGTAGATTCTGGAGACGATGGCAGAGTCACCAGACCCAGATGTCTTATTCAAAACTATTGATGTTGCAAGGAATTCTCCTGATGATGAACCAGATGATGATCAGATGTCTCAAATCTCCAGGGTCAGTTGTGGCTCAAGTATTAGATCTGTTTCTGATGATAGGCTACCAATGAGGCCGGGAACTCCACATCCATTGGTACAAACATAGTCGCTCCGAGGGTGATGTACTTTATGGGTGTCCCAATTCTTCTCGAGGAGTGGTCCTAGGAATAATTGTACAATAGCTGATGGTGCTACCTATGTTCACAGCCATGGGCGAATGTTTGCTCCTCCGGTAGAGGGACTCATGCCAGGCTCATCTGAGTTACCCCATGCTGAGGGTACTGATGATTACTTACCCTTCCCGAGACCCAACCAAACACGGCTAAGGCCTATTACTAAGGCAAACACACATTTTAAACCCAAGGCTGGTCTTAATTTCCATCCTGACTCATATGATGGTCATGGTGATTGGGAAGAATACCTGTGTCACTTTGAGGCATGTGCTGAGCTTGGCAGATGGGATGACCAGGACAAGGTTTTGGCCCTTGCAGCTAGTTTAAGAGCTTCAGCACGTACCTTTTATATAGGTCTGTCTCCAGATGAGAGGCGTAACTACACTTACCTTGTCAGGAAAATTGGTGATAGATTTGGCAGTTCACGTCAGCAAAGTCGTTGGCTCTCACGGTTAGAGATGAGGCAAAGACGACCCAATGAAACAATTGCTACTTTAGGTGATGATCTGAGGCAGATGGCACAGCGAGCCTATTCTAACCTTGATGCTAGAGCTCAGGAAGCCCTAGCCCTAAACCAGCTGTATAAAGCAATACCTCTAGAAATGAAATGTAGATGCATGGATCGTGACTGTCGCTCTGTCTCTGAAGCTGTTGATGTTATTGAACGCTATGAGGCAATAATGGATGATTCTAAGGACAGAAAGAGGCCATCTGTACGTTATGTTGGTCCACCATCTGCTGAATTACCAGATGATAAAGGTCTTGAGAAGTACCTCAAGGACATTGCCTCGAGCATATCTAGGCTTGAAAACAAAGGGTATGAGTCCAATAGAGAACGGCGCACTGTGCCTATACCTGAGGGTAGATATTACACTGCTCAGTCTCAGAGGCCTGCACGACGTTGCCTTGTCTGCAACGAAAATGGGCATCTCCTCAGGAACTGTCCCATCTATAATCAGATGTGCCAGAGCTTCAAGCAATCTCAGATAACGTATGCCCAAATGCCGAGGACGCAAACGATGCCTCAGATGCCCCCAAACTCTAATTGTGGGACTCAGATGTCACAACAGAGTCACAGGCAGGAAAACTCTAAGGGACAGGGAAACTTCAATCTGTCAAGGTAGAGGGCCGAATCTTGACAGAGGAACAAAGGCTCAGTAACAGAGACATTCCTAGAATAGGACAGGTTGGCGAATCTATCCACAAATGTGACAATGGTGTCTATGTTACTGGAATAGTAGACACCATGGAGGTGAGATTTCTGGTTGATTCTGGTTCCACAGTGACTCTTCTGTCTAAAGGAAAGTATGATACCCTTACATGTAAGCCAGAACTTGTACCATGGACATCGGATATCCAAGGTGTCAATGGCTCTACACTGAATGTTTCTGGGACAGCCCTTGTTCCTCTTGACTTCGGGGATGTTACCTATCTTCATGAGGTTGTGGTGTGTGACATAACTCCCGAAGGGCTCATTGGTCAAGATTTTCTTACCAAATACATTAGTAGCATTGACTACAAAAACATGATGCTTAAGACAAACCAAGGTTCACTATTGGTCTGTAGTGCTGGAGGGGAGGCTATACTGTCTTGTAGAGTACAAGTTAAAGAGGCAGTCACGCTTCCACCTCACTCCGGGTCATTGGTTCCTGTTGTTCTTCCTCATGGTCTTGGCATGGCTAAAAATGGTATCATCGAAGCCTCTGAGGACCTATATGAAAAACAAGGGATATGTTTAACCAGAGGAATAATTGATACAAAGGCTTCTACTATTGCTGTTAATGTAGTTAACATGGGAGAGAAGGAGGTCATCGTACACCCTAAAATGAACTTAGGAATATGTGAAGCTGTGCTGCCTGAGACAAGGGAATCTAGCTTAGATAATTCTGTTACCCAATCTGTTGATGAAATTCAACAACAGCATTCACCTACCCTTCCTGAGCACTTAAAGGAATTGTGGGAAAGAAGTACTATACACCTATCCCCCAATGAATCAGATGCCTTATCAGGGTTACTTACCAAGTACCAAGATGTCTTTTCAAAGTCACCTGAGGACCTGGGACGGACCAATCTAGTTGAACACCATATTGACACAGGCAATGCAAGGCCT